TTAAAAAAAAAAAAAAAAAGAAACAGGCGGCAGGAATGGCCTAGCTGGGACAGAGGTCAGGACGTCCTGACCTTTACAGTGGCAATTCCTGGGGACTCTGCCCATCCCCATACCTCTCCTCTGGATTGCTCACCAGCTCTTGGTTCAGTTATGCTAAGTTCATTTGTGAATCCTCTGGCACCTCACCCCACCACTTGCCCAAAACAGAGCTCCATATCACTCCCCCAAACCTGGCCTCTTGTGTCCCTGTCTCAGTCTGGAGCCAGAAAACTAGGAGTCACCCTAGCCCCAACCAGCCCCGCTCAGGCTGGCTCTTAAATATCACTGGAATCCATTCATTTCTCTCCAGCTCTCTACCTCTCTTTTAGCTCAGGCCACCATCTTTGTATACCTGGATTGCTGCAGCAGCCCCATCCCCATCCAGTCTCACTCCTCCTACTGGCCTTTCTCCACTTGGCCTCCAGAGCTATCTCTCAGAAACCTAAGTCTAACTAATCAGCTCCTGCTTAGGAATCTTCTGTGGCTCATCAGTATCCTGAGAATAGGTCCAAACAAGCCCTCCATGATCTCAGTCCCAACCACCTACCTGTCTCACCCCTTTCAGGGCTTGGTTCAATGTCCCTTCTGCCAGGAGTCCTTCCCTATGACCTCCTCACTGCTCAGCATGGGTTAGCAGCCCCTCCTAGGGATTTCCTTGTACTTAGGATCCGTTTACTTGCCTGTTCCCCCTCTGGACAAGGTCTGTGTCTAATTCACCCAACATACAGTCTGACACATCATGAGCATGTGGGTGCTCAAAAGATGTTTGTCTAATGAATAATTAGATGTGGCACCCAGGTTGGATATGTGGGACTAGAGTTCAGGAAGGAGGGCTGGGCCAGAAAGACAGTTTTGGAAGTTGTCAGAAAAGACCCATAATTGTAAGTATAGCCATGGGAAAGGGTGAGATAACTCAGAGCAAATAAAGCAGAGGTCAAGGACAGAACACTCAAGTTTTTAAGGAGGAAAGATTTCTGCACCAAGTAGGATCAATTTTGACTCAGGTACCAGAAATCCCACATAAGAGCCTCAGAGAAGACAGACCAAGGCCAGTAGGTCAGCTCTGCTCCACAAAGACCTTCCAGATGTGGCTCTTTCCACTTACTGCTCCAGCAAACTATGACGCTTGTCCTCATGGTTCAGGGTGGTGGCTGAAGCTCTAGCCATCACATATGCATTCCAGGCAGCGGATGAAGACAAGGATGAAGAAGAGGGCAAAGAATCTGCACCAGCTCTCTTTTAAGGGAAGTTCCCAAAAGGTGTCACATGGTACTTCCACATATATCCCATTAGCTAAAACTTAGTCACATGACCAGCCCCAGCCGCAAGAGGAGGCAGGAAATGCAGTTTCTATGCTAGGCAGCCACATACCCAGCTAAGAACCAAGGGTTGCATCCTCGTAGACAGAAGAGGTACCCAGGGACACTAGCTGACTCCACCATTGAAAGGGAGGCTGGATGGAGAGACAGAGCACTACTGGTATGTCGGGCTCTGTGCTAGGCACTTTACAGATCTTATCTTACCCCAACCTGAGGAGAGGCTATTATTGTCCCTGACTCACAGAGAAGCTTGGAGAGTTCAGCAACTTGCCTGAGGACATACAGTGACCCTTGGCAGAGCTGCGGTTGAAACCTGTCTTTTCCCTGTATACTGGTCTGGCTGGAAAATCAGGAGAGGGTGGGTCCTAGGAGCTGTTGGAAGGAAATCTTTCCACAAAAGAGGGCTTGGTCAACAGTGTCAGAGACTGACAGGCCAAGCAGGCTCTGGGCTGAAGGGTCTGCTTGGATTTGGCAGCAAGGACTGTTGGTAACCTTGACAAGGGCATTTAGGAGAAGTGGGGGTGGGGGCTGGAGGCCAATTGCAGAGGGTGGGATGCAGAGGGAAGTGTAGACGTGTAGGTCTTTCTGGAACGTTGGCAGTGAAGGTAGAGCAGGCAGAGCTGCAGAGGAACGAGGGCCGGGAGGAGGCAGAAGGGAGGAGCAGATGCAGGTACTGGAAAGGTGAGGCAGCCTCTGCCGGGAGGCCTCTGGGCTGGATAGAAGGGTTGGATACAAAGGAGGAATCCTCGGATCATTCAGGAGGGAAGGGGGCAGGAGGTGCAAAAGCAGGCAGGACTGGAGAACAAAAGGAGGGAAGAAGAGGGAGTTTCTGTCCTGTAAAATCCGAAGGATGGTTCTTAGCTGGAGAAGAGGGCAGAAAGTCAAGGGCCTGAAGGACAGGGAGGGGGCTGGCCTGTGCTGTCCGATATGGTTTCTTGCTGCCACTAGCCACGTGTGGTGATTTAAATTAATTAAAAGTAAATAAAATTAAAAATTCAGTTCCTTGGTTACACTAGCCACATTTTAAGTATTTAGTGGCCACATGTGGTTAGTGAATACTATTTTGGGAAGCACAGATAGAGAATGTTTCCATCATTGCTATTGGACAGCACTGGTCTAGATAGAGTGTGGTGATGGGGGGTTCCCAGAGACCCTGCCTGGCCACAGGTCCAGACTGCAGGTCTTGCCCACTGCAGGGCCCCTGGAAAATCCTTCCACACTATGTCCATTCAAGACCTTCCTCCCCTCGTTGAGATTCCCTCAGGTCTCTCTCCTGGAGCAGCCAGCCCCGTTCTTATTCCTGCTTTCCTGAGGCCGCTCCGGAGAGTGTCTGCTGTCTGAGTTCCAGGCCTCTCAAAGCTGTGGGAGGGGTACATGGAGGACCAGAAAGAGCTCCAATGTTTGGGTACAGTGGCCCATGGACAGAGGTGAGCTGATCTCCAGCACTGACCCTGCTGGGCTCAGGGCCTAAGTGGCGACTCACCACTGTCTACCAAGAGATCCAGAGGACCTCAAAGATCTCTCAGCTCAGCCCCGCATTCCACAGATGGGGACACCTAGTTTCAGAGAGGGAAAAGTGGGGAAAAGTACAGAAGGCAGAAGTCTGTCCTCCTTCCTTTTATTGTACTCCACCCCTCCCTTCTCCCAGACCTTGTGTTCAGACAGAATTGGGCAGGCCTTAGGTGCTGAGGCTGGGCCACAAGCAGGGAGCCCAGGATTTGGCCAGGGCTCCAACCCAACCCAAGGTAGCTGAGTGAGGATTCATGGCTTGAAGGGACTGTCCTGGCCTGACGCACTTAGGGAGAAGCACGTCTCCATGGAAGTGTTGTGGCATGGACCATGTGTCTGTACTTGAGGGCGTAGGTACGTTCAGATGGTTGTGTTTGCAGGGCCCAAGCTGTTCAAAACCAGAGTGTGGATGGGAGGGGGGTATGCATGCAGATGAGTGTGGACATGGGGGTGTGTACGTGAGACCATGTGACTTGCAGGTATACCACACACCTACTCAAAACCTGCAGCTGCCAGGTCAGGCAGGCCCAGACTAAATCTGATACCCAATCGGGAACGGTTCCTAAACTTCAGTCTTTGAAATGGCCTGGGGAGTTTGCCATCCTTGCATATCTGTGGCCAGCCGTAGAGATTCTGGTTCAGGAGATCTGAGGTAGACCCGGGTGCCTGCCCTGTTGATAAGCTCCCTAGGAAAATCTGGGGCCAGTAAGAAACAGGGCTCAAGCAGAGCTGTCCAATAGAACTTGCTGCAATAGTCTATGTGGTCCAATATGGCAGCCATTAGGCACATGTCTCTATTTAGCAGTTGTAATGTGGCTAGTTTTAGGAACTGATTTTTTTATTTTATTCGGTTTAAATTAATATAAATTTAAATGGTCATCGTGGCTAGTGTCTGCCATATGGGAAAGCATGGATCTGGAGACACGAGGCAATGCGGTGCATGAGGGCCCAGAGAGAAGCACACAGCTCTGATGGAGGGGTGTGAGAGGATCCCTGCCCAGCCCCAGCCCCTCTAGACCAGGAGTGGCTGAGGCTGGTGCGAAGCTCCCTTTGGGCTTGTGGAGTTGGGGCCAGAGACCAGACTTGCTCAGGTCTCTCCCAGTGTCCCCCCTGGGCTGCCGAGGCCTAGTGTCTGCCTGGCTAAGAGCGTGGAGAGCTCCTGCGGAGACCGTTCTGTCCTGGGCCCCCAGCAGGGCCCCTGCCTGAAGCCTCATGCTGTGTCCAGTCAGGAGGCAGGGGCTGAGGGTCAGGATGCCTTCATGTTCTCCCGCAGGCTCAGGGTGGAGCTGGTGGCTGCAGGGTCACGCTCACCCTGTGTAAGCAGGGCAGGGGATAAAAAGTCAGCCGCAGGGAAGCAGCTGGCCCCCCAACACAGACGTGCAGGCCTAAGGCCTCCGAAAGGCCCACGCGGGGAGTTCTCTTACCGCCCCTGGCCCCATGTGCTCCGCGTACTTGAACTTCTTCTGCTTGTAGTAGTGCCTTTTGGGCAGGATATGGAGGAGCAACAGGTCACAGAGAACCGTGGCCTGAGGGCAGGGAAGGGTCAGAGAGAGCATGGGGATCTGGGCGCAGGGACAGAACCGTCCATATCCCACATCAGTCCTTTCTGGCTGGGGGGCCTGGCTCAAACCTGCTCTACCTAGACTTCAGGTTCTGGAAGCGGGGGATGAGGCATTGCAGGTCCCTCAGGAGATCAAGACCACCCCATCCCACCTCTGTCCTGCCCCAACCCTGGGCCTCAGTTTCTTTAGACATACGTGGGTCTGGGGTGGTGGGGTGGGCTCAGTAAGGATGAGGTAAGAGACTATGGCTGCCACTGAGATGTGGAAGGGGAGGGACTGACCTTAGTACAGTGACCCCGTGACCCTAGCACTTACCACCCCAAAGATGCCAATCCCAGAGCCAATGGTCGTCATTGTGGGAATGATGTCAAACTTCCCAGCCTGGTGGCAGGGCCCAGGAAGAGAAGGATTAACAGTCAGAAGGAGCCAGGTGGAAAAGGCCTTCCTCAGAAACCCCAAGGCTAGACCCGGGGCAAGGAGCTCCCCCTTTCTACCCTCTACCCCCACCATTAGCTGGCCCCACAGCCTGCTCCCTACAGCTCTGGCTCTACACGGGGACCCAGCTGCTGGTTAGAAGCCCTGGGCTTTGACCTTGGCTCTGCTTCCCTGGACACAGGGAGGTAGTGGAGGAGGCGAGGTACCGGCTGGAAAGACCTGCCCTCACTGGGTACGGAGGCCCATCTGTTATTAGCAATAAAACTGCAGAATGAAGCCTAGTCAATAACCATGGACACCCAACGAGCACTCACAGGAACTAAGAATGTGTCTGGCTGTCCTTCATACTGGACACTCACCTTGCCATCCACGAGAATGTCAAAGCGAATCCCAAACACCTTAAAGAGGTGGCGGTGGTTGGTCCCGTTTTCCACGAAGTGCCTGGCAAACCTTGGGGAAAGGGTGAGGTTGCAGAAAAGGGTGATGGAGAACAGTTTTGGGTCCAGTGTTCTTGGAGTTCAGCAGGAGCCCTTAGAGGTCCATGAGGACGGTCCCATGCCCCCAACCCCCCAGGCCCCCTTCCAGGAATGCTATCTTCAATCCTCACCCTAACTCCTGATGTCAGTGATTTCCCCCGCCAGTCCTGGCCAGGTGGGCCTCAAAGGGTGGGGGCTCAGGCTGCCAAGGTCTTGTTCCCTGCGGGCTCCCTGCTTGGCCAGACCCAAGAGAATGGGAGCTGCCCACCTTCCTTCTGCTTTCTTCCTGGGAACACTTACTTGGCCTAAGAGGTTCTGGGAGTAGAAAACCCCTCAAGGGGTTCCGGGAGCCCAAGGAAGGGTGCACTGGTGGGGTCCTGGCAGGCACCTGAAATTGAAGCCTGGAGACAGGCTTTTCTCCTCATACAGTCCATGGAACTCGTAGATGGGTTTGCAGTGCCGCACATGCCAGTCCAGGTCACAGTTCCAGTCGATGGTGATGCCAACCACCCCGCCCTGCGGGGACACAGGTGTTTAAAACCCCGGGCTTCAGGATCAAGAAACTCCTGTCTTAGGGGAAGAATGAAGGGGGGGAAATCGGAGGGGGAGACGAGCCATGAGAGACGATGGACTCTGAAAAACAAACTG